AATGTCTACCCATTGATACATGCCCGTGACCCTACCCAATGTCTACCCATTGATACGTGCCCGTGACCCTACCCAATGTCTACCCATTTATACGTGCCCGTGACCCTACCCAATGTCTACCCATTGATACTTGCCCGTAACCCTACCCAATGTCTACCCATTGATACTTACCCGTGACCCTACCCGCAATGTCTACCCATTGATACGTGCCCGTGACCCTACCCATTGTCTACCCATTGATACTTGCCCGTGACCCTACCCCCAATGTCTACCCATTGATACATGCCCGTGACCCTACCCAATGTCTATCAATCGATACGTGCCCGTAACCATACCCAATGTCTACCCATTGATACATGCCCGTGACCCTACCCAATGTCTACCCATTGATACGTGCCCGTGACCCTACCCAATGTCTACCCATTGATACGAGCCCGTGACCCTACCCCCAATGTCTACCCATTGATACTTACCCGTGACCCTACCCAATGTCTACCCATTGATACGTGCCCGTGACCCTACCCAATGTCTACCCATTGATACGTGCCCGTGACCCTACCCAATGTCTACCCATTGATACTTGCCCGTAACCCTACCCCCAATGTCTACCCATTGATGTGCCCGTGACCCTACCCAATGTCTACCCATTGATACTTGCCCGTGACCATGCCCAATGTCTACCCATTGATACGTGCCCGTGACCCTGCCCAATGTTTAACCATTGGTACGTGCCCGTGACCCTACCCAAAGTCTACCCATTGATACTTGCCCGTGACCCTACCCAATGTCTACCCATTGATACTTACCCGTAACCCTACTTCCAATGTCTACCCATTGATACTTACCCGTAACCCTACCCCCAATGTCTACCCATTGATACGTGCCCGTGACCCTACCCAATGTCTACCCATTGATACTTACCCGTAACCCTACCCCCAATGTCTACCCATTGATACGTGCCCGTGACCCTACCCAATGTCTACCCATTGATACTTGCCCGTGACCCTACCCAATGTCTACCCATTGATACTTGCCCGTGACCCTACCCCCAATGTCTACCCATTGATACGTGCCCGTGACCCTACCCAATGTCTACCCATTGATACTTGCCCGTGACCCTACCCAATGTCTACCCATTGATACTTGCCCGTGACCCTACCCCCAATGTCTACCCATTGATACTTGCCCGTGACCCTACCCCCAATGTCTACCCATTGATACTTGCCCGTAACCCTACCCCCAATGTCTACCCATTGATGTGCCCGTGACCCTACCCAATGTCTACCCATTGATACTTGCCCGTGACCATGCCCAATGTCTACCCATTGATACGTGCCCGTGACCCTGCCCAATGTTTAACCATTGGTACGTGCCCGTGACCCTACCCAAAGTCTACCCATTGATACTTGCCCGTGACCCTACCCAATGTCTACCCATTGATACTTACCCGTAACCCTACTTCCAATGTCTACCCATTGATACTTACCCGTAACCCTACCCCCAATGTCTACCCATTGATACGTGCCCGTGACCCTACCCAATGTCTACCCATTGATACTTACCCGTAACCCTACCCCCAATGTCTACCCATTGATACGTGCCCGTGACCCTACCCAATGTCTACCCATTGATACTTGCCCGTGACCCTACCCAATGTCTACCCATTGATACTTGCCCGTGACCCTACCCCCAATGTCTACCCATTGATACTTGCCCGTGACCCTACCCCCAATGTCTACCCATTGATACCTGCCCGTGACCCTACCCAATGTCTAGCCATTGATACGTGCCCGTGACCCTACCCATTGTCTACCCATTGATACTTGCCCGTGACCCTACCCCCAATGTCTACCCATTGATACATGCCCGTGACCCTACCCAATGTCTATCAATCGATACGTGCCCGTGACCCTACCCAATGTCTACCCATTGATACATGCTCGTGACCCTACCCAATGTCTACCCATTGATACGTATGGTCACCTGTAAACATCGCAGCAAGGGCTTGTCATAGGTTTAGTAGACTTCTTATTTCGTACCACAACGTCACATTCAGGTGGCCGAGCCAGCAGATACCCGCAGCGCCAGGATCCAGCGGACTTGTTGTATCGCTGTGATGTCTCCTCCTTCGTATTTGCGGATCGGGGCGTTGTTGCCTCGTTAGACCTTGCACTGAATCTGTTCTGGATGACCAAAGTCGCCGCACATCTACCGGAGAGTTTTTTATTTTTTTTATTTTCCATTCGTGCGTCAAGGTATCACGCGAAATCTACTGCTGCCATGGTATGTGCGGTGATGTGGTTTAGGGTGGGCCATGAGAGAAGCGTCGTGGAGGATGAAAACCCAAGGGGGGATCTTCTGCGTTGGCTCTTTTGTCGACACGAGGGCCCTAGACTAGGCCCTGACCACCAAAATTTGCGTATTTTTATTGGAGGAATAAAAACGTTATTGCAAATGAATAACACATTAACTTCAGATCTGCCCACTGCAAAACGTCATTGTGGATATATATAAATAAAACCATTTGTTGGAAATACCGTGGCCTAAAAAGGAAATTATACAACAAGGGGACGTTTCAGGTAATGGTCCTTCTTCATGGCACACTGCACACATGGGAATACAAACCCACGCTCGCCTCGGTAGTCAGAGGCGACTTCAGGTGAACCCTTCCCACTGAGTGTTCCGTCCCCAACGAGCTGGCTATCACAAACGGCAGCGCAACAAATTGGCTCATCGTGGAAATGTACAGCAGAAGCCAAGTACTCTGAACGCGTGATGTTTTTGAGTATAAATGTGGAGGGAGAAAACGGGGAGAATGTGCAGAAATTTACATGCGGCCACGGGGAGACACGCAAACTCCAAATATACAGCTGGAATTGTGGTCAGGATCGACGCCCACGACCTCCTGCATACCAGGCGAGGTTGTTAACATCTCCTCGCAACCGTGGAGCCCGCATCTGATAGGAGTGTAACTTTTATATTTGTGTGTGGGGGGGGGGGGGGGCCAGGAGTTCGCTTTGTCACTCACATGAGGAATCGCGAGTGAATAAAATGAATGTATTATCTTCGTTATAAACGACTGAAAATAAATCTATAAAGGTGTCCGACCCATGACATTCATCCCTATGACTAAAAGGCGGGTGGAGCCACTATGTATAAGTTATTGAGTGATGACTGTGGGGTGATGAAAACAATAACAATAGGCTTTTTACACCCTTTGTTGCGGTGAGAAAGCAGGTGTGCCAAGATGTTCAAACACCAAATTGGACACACGCCGACTGCAAGGCATCAACAAGCCTGCATAAAACCCGGTGCGTTGACCCAGTGACATGCCGGTTTAGTATTTAGCCCGTGGGCTGGACACCTTTATTAATAATTATTATTAATTTATTTTAAGATAAAACATTAATTATATTCACCCGCGACAATTACAATACGAGGTAAACGACGACGTTTCACTGCCGATTACAAACGGCTTCATCGGGCGATGGCCAGATTGTTAGAAATAAAAGTTAAACTTTTAGTCGTTCTAATAAGACTTAACAAATAACGGAAATAGCCACCCTCTGGTCCACACGGTTAGAGGCACGCACTTTCCCACGCGCTTTGTACATCAGCAGAATGTTCGTCGCGGGACATATTTTGGAAATCATCACAGCTGGAATTGACGTTAATCTAGTGGAGAATGAAATTGAGAGAACTGTAATGTTAACTTTTATTTTACACGCTTTTTATTAACTCACTGTCTGTTGTTGTTGTATCCTCAAATCTTGTTACTCAATTTTAACCCACTTCCCAATGTGGTATCGACTGCAAACTTGGTATACTTACGTCTCACTGATGACAATACTATATTCTATCATAAAAAATATGAATGTTATATTTTTAAACATTATTTTGTATATGTTATATTTCGGCTTGGGTCTAATTGTCCACGCTCAACTGACGTTGGCTGTAAATGACCACGGCCCCCTTACGTTGTGGCAAGCTTCGGGGCCACTTCCTGGAGTCGTGGAGTTCTGCCATTACGAGTAGGGTACATTTCATTAAAGCGTGTTTTTAAAAAAAATAGTAAGTTTAAAAAAATATTACTTATTGTGTGTGTGCGACCATTGGTGGTCTGACTGAGACCACCAACTCGCTGCACTTTCATCTTAATCCCAGGAAGTTGCTGAAGATCCAAATTTGTATCCAAACACCTCGGCGGTTCTAATCTGTCCTTGAGGTTGATGGCGGCAGCAGTAGCAGCGATGTATTTAGGAGCCAAATGCCACTTGCGAGATCTGCTGGCCATGGTGCCGAGATGTCAGCTCCCTCGCCTGGTATGCAGGAGGTCATGGGGTTCCATCCCGACGCCTGTGTAATTTGAGTTTGCGCGTCTCTCTCAGCCCTCGCGGTGGTCCGCGTGGATATTTCTCCACGGCCCTGCGGTTTTTCAGCGTCACGCGTTCAGAGTGGTTGGCCACGGCTATAAATTTCCAGGTGAAAAAGACACTTTGTCGAGCGGTCGTTTGTGGCCAGATCACTTCTGAACAAGAGCGCTACATGGATAGCCGAGTGGGCCTTACCCTGGTAAAATAAAGTTGCTTGTAGTGTCGTTAGTTACGACGGGAGGGCTTCAGCAGAGCGTTCGTGCAGCGTCAATGTCCCTCCTACTCCTCCGTCGCAGCAGCACAGACCACAGTGGGTTTCCAGACGGCCTGTTACCATCTGACCTCGGTCGTGCCAGCTCAGCCACTCTGACCTCCGAGCCGCCCCAGCCCTTAACGCTAACCCGAAAGGTGGACCCGGCGTGGCACCGGCACGTACGTACATACGTACGCTGAACTTCTTTCGCAACGTATCGCGCTAATTGGGGGGTACGCAGTGCGGGAGAGAGAGGGGGGGGGGGGTGATAGCTTGGGGCTCAGACCGTGTAAGGAGGTGGCGTGAAACTCCCCACCCCCCCCCCCCCCCCACCAAACTCCGCGTCCGTTGGGCACGAGGCACCGCACGCAAGGCGAAGGCCGGCACCCCTCTCGTTTATTCGAACCCTGCGCGGACGCGGACGCGGACGCGCCTGCCGTCGATCGATCGCTGCCGTAACCGCTCAACAACCACAGCACAGGAAGGAAGGGCGTCGCGGGCACGACAAACACACGCCACGACACGCCACGCCACGCCACGCCAAGAAATAAAACGGCCGCTTTAAATATTGCAACATTAAATACGAACACTTAAACGCGCGCAGGCGAGCGCGGCCGCTTCGGGATGCCCCCCGATCGGTGGAGCCCGCGGAAACGGCGAGCGGCAGCTGCTGCCGAGTGAGTATATATTACAGTCGTGTTCCTCCGATGGCGCGGGAGCAGTCGGCCCTCCTGAAGAACGCCGCGTGACGGTGAAAATCGCGTTGTAATAAATAACACGCAATGCAGGGGGCAAAGCGCGAGATGCGAGACGCAGGCCGAACAAGGACCGAGGCGCGTGGCGAGCATCTAGAAGCATCCAGCAGCATCCCAATGCCTTGCGTCACGGCGCCACGCCGAGGCAGCCGCACGGCCGCCGATTCCTACTCGCGCTGCGACGTAGCTCCGTTCGCTCGAGCGCGTTCTATCCAATTCGCATCCGCGTTATAAAACAATGCGTCCCCTCCTCCCCCCCCCCCGATACATTCATCGCGTTTTGAAAACTACGTGGTGGCACAGGAGAACCGACTGCACATACAGAGACTGGCGGGCGTGTTGACGGAATGGTGTGCACCAGGCGGCGGCCGCGATATCAATTTTGTTCACGATACAACACCCTCAACGATCGTCGCGATGTCGGTTTCCCGCAACTATGCGATTCGTTTCATCTCGAGTTGATCGCCCCGTGCGTGTGTGTGTGTGTGTTTGTGCTTTGCTGCAGTCCATCGAAGGATGGAGATTAAGAGTTATTTTAGACCCTTTCCCCGTTCCGAGACGTCTGTGGCAGGCAATGCGTGTGTGTGGGGGGGGGGAGGGGGTCCTCGTTCACCGCTGAATCTCGGCGTTGATCTTAATTAGAGAGGCGCAGTGGTTGGCGCCGTTGTTTTTAAAGGCGTCGTCACTCGCCGCGGGGAACCGTAGCGGCACGACTGCCGCACTCCACGATGGCCGGCGCCAACGCTTTGCCACACGCCGATCTCTCCCGCGTGGCCCTTGTGGAAGCCTTGGGTACCGATGAAGTTCATATTCACGTGAACTTCGTCGGCATGGCATCAGGAGAAAAACGCACGACCGGTGGTCTTCATTGCAAGGCCACGCGGACCACCAGCGGCCCCTGGTGGCCTTTAGTGCGGCCCCTGACACTCAAGAGTGAAATCACCCTGCGGCGTCGTCGTCATCATCGTCGTCGTCATCGTCGTCGTCATCATCGTCGTCGTCATCATCATCAATGGTTTCAAATGTGTGGCGGCCCTCGCTCACACTCGTGATACCTTGAAGGCGAAAGTGGGCACCCCCCCGCCCCCCTCTGAAAACTGGCGGAGGACATCACCGTACGTGCACGCCATCGGAATGGGGAAGGGTTAACTGCAGGGTTAAGTCGGCCGTCGGCTCCTTACGAGGTCGGTGACACTTCCGACGCGGCTGCCGTGAGTCAAGCGCGGACGCAGGTGGGACCGAACGGTTGACGGCAGCCTTTGCTTCCGCCCTCAGCTCGACGCGACGTCGCTATTTTGCCTTGAGGCGTCGTTGAAAGATAAATCGGTCGAGGAAGTGAGGGATTCGCGGGGCGCGACGCGGTGGGGGGGGGTTCACTCGGAGCGTCGCGACGCGGTCAACCGGGGCGGCCGCCCTCCCATGACTGGTCTCTCTCCCTCGCGGGTGCTGTCCTGCCGATTGGCTTGTTCCCTCCCACGAGTTACCGCCACTGTAATTGGTCTACCCTCACCGGGGTACTCTCCACCGATTGGCTTGTTCCCTCCCTCCGAGTTACCGCCACTGTAATTGGTCTATCCTCACCGGGGTACTCTCCACCGATTGGCTTGTTCCCTCCCACGAGTTACCACCACTGTAATTGGTCTATCCTCACCGGGGTACTCTCCACCGATTGGCTTGTTCCCTCCCTCCGAGTTACCGCCACTGTAATTGGTCTATCCTCACCGGGGTACTCTCCACCGATTGGCTTGTTCCCTCCCACGAGTTACCGCCACTGTAATTGGTCTATCCTCACCGGGGTACTCTCCACCGATTGGCTTGTTCCCTCCCACGAGTTACCGCCACTGTGATTGGTCTATCCTCACCGACGTACTCTCCAGCGATTGACCTTTTCTCAAATACTTCCCTCCCCCACCGATCATCACTGGTCCATTCTACTCCATGATTGGTTTATCCCCGAGGGCTCCGTTCACCAATTGGTCCGTCTCAGGTACCACGATGGTGAGGTGTTAACCAACTCGCCTGGTATGCACGACCCAGACGCCTGCTGTATATTTGGAGCTTGCATGTCTCTCTCTCTCTCTCCTTGTGGTCGCGTTGATTTTTCTGAGGCCTCCTGTGTTTCCCTCCACATTTAGAATCAACGTGCGTTTAGGGCCACATCGTTCAGGTCGCTTTTGAAACAGGCCTTAACTGGTAAAATGAAAAAAATAGTTTATCCTAGGTTATCCCGCTGCGTCATTCGTTCTATCACCCCAACGGGCCGCTGCCTCGCGATTGGCCCATTCCCGGTGATGCCGCCCAACAACCGGTCCACCTCCAATATCCCTAGGCCTGTAATTGGTCTATCTCCGCTGTCACCACTGCTCCGTGATTGGTCGATCCCCGTTGAAGCCGCCCCCCCCCCCCCCGCCGCCCCGACTAGTTGGTTATCCCCTGTAGGCCCACAGGGTGACGGTCCTGTCGGCGGACGAGCTGAGGAAGGCCAGGTCCTCCGGGTGCCACCGGCACTGGATCACCTTGTCCGTGTGCTCGGCCGCGACCGTGACGGGCAGCGGCTTCGTCAGATCCCCTGGGGGTATAGGCGGAGGTGGTGGGGGGGGGGGGGAGTCATCCCATTACCATCATCAATCAGCATCATGATTTGGCATCTCTTACATGATAACCACCATCACCATCATGATTCCACATCGCCTTCATGATAACAACCATCCTCATCGCCGTCGCCTCATCATCGTTCGGCATCGCCTTGATGATAACCACGATCGTCATCATTCGACATCGCCTTGATGATAACCACGATCGTCATCATTCGACATCGCCTTGATGATAACCCACGATCGTCATCATTCGACATCGCCTTGATGATAACCACGATCGTCATCATTTGACATCGCCTTGATGATACCCACGATCGTCATCATTTGACATCGCCTTGATGATAACCACGATCGTCATCATTCGACATCGCCTTGATGATACCCACGATCGTCATCATTTGACATCGCCTTGATGATAACCACGATCGTCATCATTTGACATCGCCTTGATGATACCCACGATCGTCATCATTTGACATCGCCTTGATGATAACCACGATCGTCATCATTCGACATCGCCTTGATGATACCCACGATCGTCATCATTCGACATCGCCTTGATGATACCCACGATCGTCATCATTCGACATCGCCTTGATGATACCCACGATCGTCATCATTTGACATCGCCTTGATGATACCCACGATCGTCATCATTTGACATCGCCTTGATGATACCCACGATCGTCATCATTCGACATCGCCTTGATGATACCCACGATCGTCATCATTCGACATCGCCTTGATGATACCCACGATCGTCATCATTCGACATCGCCTTGATGATAACCCACGATCGTCATCGTTCGACATCGCCTTGATGATAACCCACGATCGTCATCGTTCGACATCGCCTTGATGATAACCCACGATCGTCATCATTCGACATCGCCTTCATGATCACCACCATCCTCAAAACATAGTCAGGCTCTGCAATGTTCACATCAGGGCTCTACGACACATTCGACCAAACCAACGAGTTGGGGTGGCCACTTCGGGTGCCGTTCCCGCGGCCCCATTACCACCGCCGCCCCAGCAGCCGCCGCTCACCCTGCAGGTCGGTGAGCATGGCGCGCCCGTCGTAGGAGCCGGTGAGCAGGTAGTGCGCACCGCCCGAGAAGCGAACGGAGCGCACGTCGGCGGCGTGCGGGCGGTAGAGCTGCACGACGCGGCCGCCCCGCACGTCGTAGAGAACGCAGCTGCTGTCCTCCAGGCCCGCCGCCAGCAGGCGCCCGCTCGGGTCCACGGCGACGGCCGCCACCGCGCTGCCCGCTGCCGCCCACGGAGCATCGCGCCCGCGCCCGCGCGCAAAGGCGAGGGGAGGGGACACCGCGTGTAAACAACAACAACAACAGCCGCCGCCATTCGCCACTAAAGTGGCGGTGACGTCACCACGACGCTTGTGCCAGGCCATGTGCACCCTGAGGCCGCGTGAAGCGTCGAATGCCCGCCGGCAGGAGGTCACGGGGCAGACCCGGGTGCCACGGGTCGACTGACTGAGATGACTGAGATGGCTGGCTGATGCACCACCTGTGGCCCCTACTGTGCCAACCCGCTGTGCTTTATCCACCCGGCGCTCCGCTCGTTGTTGTGAGCGTCGCTCCTCCGCCCTCCGTTGTTGTTGGAGGGCGACTGCCTCCAACTGCCCAGTAGCGTCCTTCACAAGCCTCCTCCACAGAGGCCGATCTTGACACCGCTGGTACCGGTCATCGGCAAGTCCACTCAGCTCCACGTCCTCCTGTACCACGTCACTCCATCTCTTCTCTAGCCCGTGCCGCGCCCGTTTAGCCCCCTCGATTGGGCTTGCGGTGATTGGGCATGTACACACAAAAACACGCCCACCCCCCCCCCCCGTGTAGCCTGTAACAGACTGTTGGGGCAAGTGCTGTTAGCGAGCACCTATGAAGGCCGAGACGGCACGCGAGGAGGTGGGTGGCCAGCACCACGCCCGGCCGCCTTTGTCTCCCCAGTGACGATGTTTACACGCCGCATCAGGTACTCATTTGAGGCTGAGTCGACCTAGGGGAGGCCCAGGACCGGTTCAAACAATCGTCACCGGCGTTGGCGGCGAGCGGGAATCGAACCCGCGTCACGAGCTTCGTAGCCGCAGCGCGGCGCTAACCGCTGCACCGCCGCTCCCCGCTACGCGCGCTTGCGCATAGAACAAAGGTGCCCCCCGCGTGGCCACGCTTTACCCCGCCCGGCACGCGACCGCGGTCGTTCCACGCTGCCTGGTAACCCCGTGCGGCACGGCCGCTACGGAGCCGGAGGGAGCGCGGTGGTGCGGACACGGCGGAACGGAGGGGCGGTCAGGGGTCAGCGGTAGGGGCGGACGGAGGCTGCCGGCTGTCCGGCGGCGCCGTTACCGGAGCCGGAGAGGGCGGTGCCCACGACGCTGACGCAGGAGGGCACGCGCAGGTCCCAGAAGCGGATGGTCTTGTCCTGCGCCCCGGACACCACGAGCCAGCCGGCCCACGCGTACAGCGACAGCACGTGGCCTGCAAAGACAAAGGTCCCCAATGGAGCCTTAATAAGTCCGTTGGAGGCAAGTGCTGTCAGCGAGGCGCGGCGCACGAGCGGGGGGTTTGGATGGCCAGCGCCATGCCGTCTCCCCAATGAGTCACCGCAATTTCACACCACACACACCACACACCACACACACACACCACACACACACCACACACCACACACACTCCACACACACACCATACCACACACACACACACCACACCACATACACACACCACACACATACACCACACACACCACACCACACACACACACCACACACACACCACACACACACCACACACACACCACACACACACACACCACACACACAACCACACACACACACACACATACATACACACACACACACACCACACACACCACACACACCACACACACACACCACACACACACACTACACACACACTACACACACACCACACACACCACACCACACACACACACACACACATACATACACACACACACAAACCACACACACCACACACACCACACACACACACCACACACACACACACCACATACACACATACACACACCACACACACCACACACACACACACACCACACACACACCACACACAAAACACACACACACACACCACACACACACACCACACACACACACCACATACACACATACACACACCACACACCACACAGACACACACACAACCACACACACACCACACACACACACACCACACACACAACCACACACACATACACCACACACACACACACCACACACACACCACACACACACACACCACACACACACACACACCACACACACACACACCATACCACACACACACCACACACCAAACACACACACACCACACACACACACCATACCACACACACACCACACACACACACCACACACACACACCACACACACCACACACACACCACACACACACACACCACACCACACACACACCACACACACACACCACACACACCACACACCACACACACACCACACACCATACCACACACACACCACACACACACACACCACACACACCACACCACACCACACACACACCACACACACACACCACACACACACCACACACACACCACACCACACACACACCACACACACACACACCACACACACCACACACACACACCACCACACACACACACACTACACACACACACCACACACACACCACACACACACCACACCACACACACACCACACACACACACACGGGGCATGCGCGCACGCACGGACAGTTCGCGAGTTAACGGTTCGCGAGTCAGCCGCGCGGTTCGCTAGTAAACCGTGTGCCCGTCGGCACGTACCCGTATGCCCGCTGAGCGCGTGCAGGCCCTGGCGGGCCCGGCAGTCCGTGGTGTAGATGTTGCAGTCGCCGGCTCCCGCGCTCACGAGCACGGGAGCGCCGCTGTCGGGCGTCTCCAGGAACGCCAGGTCACGGATGGTCCCGTCGTGCATGCTGAACTCCAGGTCAGGCCCTGGGGTGGTGGGAGGTGGGGGAGGGTGGGTGAGAGGGTATGCAGGAGGTCGTGGGTTCGATCCCGACCCCGTATAATTGGAGTTTGCGCGTCTCTCTCCCCGTGGTCGCGTGGATTTTTCTCCGGGTCCTCCGTTTTTTTTCCCCCCCACATTTAGAAACGTGCTTGTAAAGTATTTGGCTGCTATAAATGTACACGTGATGCTAAGCCACTTCGTTGACCTGTCATTTGTGGCCAGGTCGTTTCTACAAAAAGAGCTCTATATTCGCTCAGTGAGCCTTACCCATCAAGTTTTTTTTGTTTGTTTTAGTATAGGTCTCTATGGGTCTCTATGGGTCTCTGTGGGTCTCTGTGGGTCTCTACAGTTCTATACGAGTCTCTGGATGTCTCTGGGTCTCTATGAGTCTCTTTGAGTATGGGTCCCTGTGGGTCTTAGTGGGTCTGTATGGGTCTATGAGTCTGTAGAAACAACATACGTTTAGATTAAATCTTGACTTAAAGCTTTCGTGACTGCAGGAATTCATACTCTTTGGGTCTTTCCGTAAAGCCACGTAGATAGAAATAATAAAAAAATATCACGACATTTCGATCGCAACTCAAGCAATCGTCACCTGATGACGACTGCTTCTGTTGCGATCGGAACGTCGTGATATTTTTTTATGATTTTTCTATCTACGTGGCTTTACCGAGAGACCAAAAGAATATACGTTTCGATTATTTGGCTGCTCCTATAAATTCCTACATGATGATGATGACGATAAGCCACTTCGTTGAACTACTTGTGGACAGGTCGCTTCTGCAAAAGCGCAACGTAGCTCAATGGGCCCTACCTGCGCGAACCGCGCGCGTCCCAACGTGCGTGCGTGCGTGCCACGTACCCACGGCGTTGCAGGTGTCGGCGCTGAAGGGCAGCACCTTGACACACTTGTCGTTGGAGCCGGTGGCCAGGAGGTCCCCGCGTGGGCTCCATGCCACGCAGTAGATGGAGCCCTTGTGGTGCTTGTTGCGCTTGAAGCGCACGGCTGGGGCGCGCACCTCCTGGTCGTCACTGCACGCACAAAGATCCAGCACCACCGCCCCACCCCGTACAGCCTCAACGGACCCATCGGGGCAAGGGTTGTCGGCGAGCGTGCACGCGCGCCCGGTGCGGTGTGTCGTGAACATCGCCACTGGGGAGACAAAGGCTGTCGGGCGTGGTGCTGCTGGCCACCCACCGCCTCGTGTGCCGTGCCGGGCTTCATAGTTGCTCGCTAACAGCCCGCTAACCCTGTACGGGGGCACCTTTATCTTTGCCTTTGGGAGTGAGAGTAAAGTGTGTAAGTTGGCACAGTAGGCGGTACAGCTGGTGCATCAGCCATTCATCTCAGTTAATCAACCCATTAGCACCTGCAGGGTCTGTCCCGTTGACAGCAGCAAGGCCCCGTCACTTCACGTGGCCTCAAAGTGCACCTGGACTGGCACAGGCGGCACTTCGTGGTGAATGGCGGGAACGGGTATGTTATGTTTCTGTGGCCATGTTTGTGTACGTGCGTGTGTGTGTGTGTGGCTGTCAAGGCCGTAATTGTAATAGAGTAAAGCCTTGGATTGCGAGCATAATTCCTCCCGGAAACGCGTTTGTAATCCAAAGCACTCGTATATCAAAGCACTCGTATATCAGTTGTGATCACGTGAAGCTCGGCAGACAAAGCGTCTATACGTACTACTACTCGTATTGCAAGACCCTCGCTCGTTTATCAAATTAATATTTATTTAAAAAAAAAATTGCTCGTCTTGCAAAACACTCGCAGACCAAGTTACTCGCAATCCAAGGTTTTACTGTGTGTATATATTTATATTGGGGGGAATACATCCCTCCCAATATTCAAATATGTTCAAAATGTCCCCCTCCAATATATTGCTATAAAAATAAATAATTGCTATGCTATGTAAATACAAACAACAATTTGATCAACTTTGGCCACGATATCTGGGCTTGTCTTCATATAAATCAATGCATAGATTTCTGTTTATATGATTGTGGTTATGGTTGTACTTTATTAATCCCTAATCTCTGCCATTACATACAATGAAACAAGAAATGTAAAAAAAATAAAAACAGAGCAATGTAATACAATACACTATTAGACATTATTGTAAACAATAAATAAAAAGTCCATCCCATTTGTTAGTGAATTTTTTTTATATTTTAGGCAGGAAATGAGTTTTCAAATGTAGATATTTTTCTGGGTTGGGACCCCCAGACACCCTGGAAGATTTGGTCCCCCCCAATGTTGACTCCATGGCTACAGCCTTGGTGGATGTCTGTATGTCTCTTTGCCTGTGTGTGTGTATGTGTGTGTATGTGTGTGGCTGTCTGGATGTGTCTTTGTCTGTGTGTATGTATGTGTGTATATGTGTGGCTGTCTGTATGTGTCTTTGTCTGTGTGTGTATGTGTGTGTATGTGTGGTCCGGCAAAACAACCCCCTACCTCCTCGTGGTGCCGGACGGGCAACTCTGTCGTGGACAGTGCTGTGGGGGGAGGGCCAATTCCGATTGGCTCCTCCCCTCACGGCGTCTGTGTCCACCACAGTGGCTAAACGGGGGCTCTGGACAGGTGCGAGGGGCTGGTAACCCCTCCACCTCCAATTAATTACCACTAAACCACGAGTTAAACTGAAATATGTAACTAATAAGCTTGTGCCGGAGGCCCCGGGGGGACAGGCGTCTATGACGTCTCCTGGCCAAACCCCAATTGGCGGAGCCAGGAGATTGAATCTCTACCCTCGGGGCTCCTTCAGAAACAACGAAAAGCCACTACGGATGGCCACGTGGAATGTTCGAACACTCACTACGGAGGAGAGGCTGCCACTCCTCTGTCAGGAGCTGAACCGGTACCGCCTGGATCTCTGTGGAATTCAGGAGGTCCGGTGGACCGGTTCTGGCTCGTGCCACCATGAGGGGTGGACAGTCCTCTACTCGGGGCAGCAGACTGCCAAACAACAGGGTGTGGTTCTTCTTTTGAACAAAAGAATGAAGGGGGTGTGGGAGCGTGGCGGTGAGGTGTGGGAAGCTGTAAGCCCCAGGCTACTTTGGGCTCGCCTTCCCATCAACCGGAGGCGAGGAGTGGTGGTCGTGGTTACTTATGCCCCCACCGAAGACGAACATCCGTGGAGGGATGCAGGCAAAGCCAATGAGTCAGATGCCTTCTATGACCTCCTGTCACAGGTGCTGGCTAAAGTGGCACCTCGGGATAGAGTCATGATGTTGGGTGACTTCAATGCCCGAGTTGGTCATGATGCTGGCACCTGGTCTGGAGTGATTGGAGGGCATGGGCCAGATCAGCTCAATAACAACGGTAGGAGGCTGCTAGATTTTTGTGCAGCCCATGGGCTTGTAATTACCAACACGCTGTTCCGGCATCGGCGCATCCACACAACATCATGGATGCATGCCGGGTCCAAGCAAGAACATCTGCTGGACTACATAGTGACAGATCAGCGGATGCGAGCCCATGTCCTTGATACCAGGACCTACCGTGGAGCTGATCTGTCCTCTGACCATCGACTAGTCATCTGTAAGATGCGCCTGCCATTCTTCCACTCCAGTTGTGGGTGTACACCCAGGACCCCATTCCAAACTAAAGTGGCCTGGTCTCAGTTATCTGATGAAAGTTGCAAGCGAGCATTTCATCATCGCTTGCGGCTGGGATTGGCATCGTCCCCAACTCCTCCTGATGTCGAGGGTAAATGGGCGAGGTTTAGGACTGTGACTCATGCAGCTGCAATGGCTGCTTTGGGTACACGGTCCAGACCTCCCCAGAGACCGTGGCTGACAGAGGAGGTGTTCAGGATGGTTGAGAAAAAGCGACAGGCCCACTGTCATCGGCTACAGAATCCCACGTCAGAGAATGAGGCTTACCGCAGCCTTCGCTCGGAGGTTCGGAGAGCCGTGAGGCGCTGCAAGGATGGGTGGTGGTCGTGGGTTGCTGAGGAGATGGAGTCTGCCTCAGTGGCCCGTGATCACAAATCTCTATTTAACTCCATCAAAAAAGTAATCTGCAGCGCCACACCTATTACCATCATTAGGGGAAAAAATGGTAATCCAATCTCCGACCCCCAGGAACAGGTTTGCAGATTTGCTGAGTATTTCTGTGAGGTCCTGGGGGAGGTAAAATCCGTCAGCCAGGAAAACATCGTGGCACAAAGTGAGGATGCGGTGCCTCAAATATTGGAAGAAGTCACCCCCTGTGAGTGGCTGGCTGAGGTGCCATCTGTTGAGGAAGTACTGAAGGCGATCCGGAGTCTGAGACCAGGAAAGGCAGCGGGCAGAGATGATCTCCCAAGCGAAATGCTGAGGGAGGGTGGCGTTTGTGCACAGACTGCCCTATATGACATCATAACAACAGTCTGGACCACTGGACGGGTTCCGCAGGATTGGAAGGATGCCCTGGTGGTCCCCCTTTTTAAGAAGGGGGACCGCACAGACTGTAACAACTACAGGGGCATCTCACTCCTCAGTGTGCCGGGAAAGGTCCTGGCAAGGATTATTCAACATCGCCTTGCCAGGCACGCTGAGGAGAGGCTTGCGGAGCCCCAATGCGGTTTCAGGAAAGGGCGGTCCTGCACAGATGCCATATTTTCTGTCCATCTGCTACAGCAGAGGTGTAGGGAATTCCAACAAGACCTACATCTCTGCTTTATTGACCTGGTCAAGGCCTATGATACCATCAGTAGGCCTGGGCTCTGGGTTGTTCTTCGTGCTTTTGGAGTACCTGACCCTCTGCTCACGATCATTAAGGACCTTCATGATGGTGAGCGGGCCCGGGTAAAACTACGTGGCTGGGAGTCAGAGCCATTCCCTGTTCACCTTGGGGTGCGACAGGAATGTCCTCTGGCTCCCACATTATTTAACACCTATTTTGACCACGTAGTTCGTGAAGCCTTCAATAGCTGTACCGGGGGAATCTCCATATGGTACAGATATAATGGAAGGCTGATCGATGCCCGGGTGCGGTCAAGGGATGGCTCCCTATTGCTCAACCACGTTATGTATGCTGATGATTTGGTAATAGCTGCTCATTCAGAGGAGGAGTTGGAGACGCTGCTGCTGAGACTGGAGCGTGCCACTAAGAGGTGGGGCCTTACCATCAGCCCCACCAAAACTAAGCACCTGCCTAGGTATTTTGTACCATCGGACACTCCACCCCCACAACTCCCAATCGGTGATGGGGCAGATGTGGAGAGAGTGGAGAGTTTCCCATACCTGGGCAGTGTGCTTATGACCGGCTCCAGTTTAACAGCAGAGGTCTCACTCCGAATCAGTCAAGCGGGAATATCTTTTCATCGGTTGCGTAACGCTGTGTGGAAGCTACCTGGTCTGTCGCTCCACACTAAGCTTCAGGTCTTCTCGGCCACGGTCATTCCCTCCCTTCTCTACGCTTGCGAAACGTGGACCCTCCTAATGGAATATCTTCGCCGGTTAGAAACATTTAGGCTGGCCTGCCTACGATCCATCCTGGGTTTAACCAGACTGGATTGTGTGAGGAGCTCACAAATCCTTGAAAGATCTGGGCACGGTCCCATCGGTGAGCTCCTCCGGCGGGGAAGGCTGCGATGGCTGGGTCATGTAGCCCGCTTGCTCAGCCACCGCATGCCGAAACAGCTTTTGTTCGGCCGGATCGAGGGGGCTAAACGGGCGCGGCACGGGCTAGAGAAGAGATGGAGCGATGTGGTACAGGAGGACGTGGAGCTGAGTGGACTTGCCGATGACTGGTACCAGCGGTGTCAAGATCGGCCTCTGTGGAGGAGGCTCGTGAAGGACGCTACTGGGCAGTCGCCCTCCAACAACAACGGAGGGCGGAGGAGCGACGCTCACAACGAGCGGAGCACAGCAGGTTGGCACAGTAGGGGGCACAGGTGGTGCATCAGCCAGTCATCTCAGTCATCTCAGTCAGTCGACCCGTGGCACCCGGGTCTGCCCCGTGACCTCCTGCCAGCGGGCGTTCGACACTTCACGTGGCCTCAAGGTGCACATGGCCTGGCACAAGAGTCGTGGTGACGTCACCGCCACTTAGTGGCGAATGGCGGTTGTTGTTGTGTATGTGTGTGTGTGGCTGTCTGTATGTGTCTTTGTGTGTGTGTGGCTGTCTGTATGTGTGTGTGTGTGTGCGTGTATGTGTGCGTGTGCATGCGTGTGCGCGTGTGTGCGTGTATGCGTGTGTGTGCGTGCGTGTGCGTGTGTGTACGTGTGTGCGTGCGTGTACATGTGTGCGTGTACGTGCGTGTGTGCGTGTACGTGTGTGCGTGTGTGCGTGCGTGTGCGTGCGTGTGTGTGCGTGTGTGCGTGTGCGTGTGTGTGTGTGCGTGCGCGTGCGTGCGTGTGCGTGTGTGTGTGTGCGTGCGCGTGCGTGCTTGCGTGTGTGTGCGTGTGTGTGCGTGTGTGTGTGCGTGTGGTACCGGAAGGAGAAGGAGTCTGGGTAGGCGCACACACGCAGCGTCTTCGAGTTGGAGCCGACGGCGTACAGCTGCCCGCCCGGGTGGAAGGCGACGGCGCGCACCGCCTGCGCATCCTCCAGCGTCGTCACCGCCACAAACGGGCGGTCGTCGCGCTCCTGGCGAGCACGGACACAGACACACACACACAGACACACACGCACACACACGCACGCACACCGGTGACGCACACACACACACACACAGAAACACACCGGTGACACACACACACAAACCGGTGACGCACACACGCACGCACACCGGTGACGCACGCACACACACACACCGGTGACGCACACACGCACGCACACCGGTGACGCACACACACACACACGCACACCGGTGACGCACACACACACACACCGGTGACGCACACACACACACACACATACACCGGTGACGCACACACACACACACACACACCGGTGACGCACACACACACACACACCGGTGACGCACACACGCACGCACACCGGTGACGCACACACACACACACGCACACCGGTGACGCACACACACACACACCGGTGATGCGCGCACACACACACATACACCGGTGACGCACACACACACACACGCACACCGGTGACGCACACACACACACACCGGTGACGCACACACACACACACACATACACCGGTGACGCACACACACACACACACACACCGGTGACGCACACACACAGACACACCGGTGATGCGCGCACACACACACATACACCGGTGACGCACACACACACACGCACGCCGGTGACGCACACACACACACACACCGGTGACGCACACACACACACACACACCGGTGACGCACACACACACACACATACACCGGTGACGCACACACACACACACCGGTGACGCACACACACACACACACCGGTGACGCACACACACACACACACACACCGGTGACGCACGCACACACACACACCGGTGACGCACACACACACACACACCGGTGACGCACACACACACACACACACACCGGTGACGCACACACACACGCACCGGTGACGCACACACACACATACACCGGTGACGCACGCACACACACACGCACGCCGGTGACGCACACACACACACACACCGGTGACGCACACACACACACACACACCGGTGACGCACACACACACACACATACACCGGTGACGCACACACACACACACCGGTGACGCACACACACACACACACCGGTGACGCACACACACACACACACACACCGGTGACGCACGCACACACACACACCGGTGACGCACACACACACACACACCGGTGACGCACACACACACACACACACACCGGTGACGCACACACACACGCACACCGGTGACGCACACACACACACACACACCGGTGACGCACGCACACAGACACGCACCGGTGACGCACACACACACACACACCGGTGACACGCACACACACACGCACACACACCGGTGACGCACACACACACACACACCGGTGACGCACACACACACACTGGTGACGCACACACACACACGCACACCAGTGACGTGCGCACACAGGCACAAAGACAAACAAAGACAAAGATCCCCCGTATAGCCTGAACAGACTGTAGGGGCAAGTGCTGTTAGCGAGCATCTATAAAGGTGCCGGCACGGCACACGAGGGGGTGGGTGGCCAGCACCACGCCCGACCGCCTTTGTCTCCCCAGTGACGATGTTTACACACCGCGCCAGGTACTCATTTGAGGCTGAGCCCACCTAGGGGAGGCCCAGGACCAGTTCACATAATCGTCGCTGGCGTTGGCCTGAGGAGGAATCGAACCCGGGTCGCCGGGTTCGTAGCGCAGCGCGCTAACCGCTACACTACCGCTCCCCACACACACTCACACGGACACACACGCACCCAGACACACACGCACACAGACACACGCGCACACAGACACACACGCACACAGACACACACGCACACAGACACACACGCACACACCCGGCAGCGCTTTCACAGCCGGGGCGGCAGTCGGCAGTCTGCGAACATGCTTGCTGTACTGCCAGGCCCTGTGCCCTTACGCGAGGGTGTTAAGACTAAAAACGATTAAAAACATTTTTTATTTGCCAGGCAAGTGCTCGCTGAGCCGTAAAGCTTTTGATTTTGTCACAGAAGCGAACTGGCCATTACGGGCGATAGCTCAACCAAGAGGTGTATCCATCGTCGTCATCACCACGTGCACATTTAGAGCAGCTGCCAAACATTCTAAATGTGTCACATTGACTCTAAATGTGGAGGACGCGGAGAAAAATCCACGCAAACGTGGGGAGAGAGAGACACGCAAACTCCAAATATAAAACAGGCGTCAGGGTCGGGATGGAACCCACGATCCTCCTGCATGCCAGGCGAGGTAGTTAACATGAAGACAAAGATCCCCCATGTAGCCTCAACAGACTGTTGGGGCAAGTGCTGTTTAGAGAGTAGCGCCTATTAAGGGTGCCACGGCACACGAGGGGGCTGTTGTGTGGCCTGCACGACGCCCGGTCGCCTTCCCCAGTGTCGATGTTCACACACCGCACCAGGTACTGATTTAAGCCTGAGTCGACCTAGGGGAGACTCAGGACGGGTTCAGATAATTGTCCCCTGGTGTTGATGGTCGTGAGCGGGAATCGAACTCGGGTCATAGCCCGGGTTCGTAGCACGGCGCGCTAACCGCTGCACCACCGCTCTCCGCACATGGACAATCGTGAATATTCATGCACATGAACACACACACAGCGAGTATATTCACGCTCACACTCACACAGCGAGTATATTCACGCTCACACACACAGCGAGTATATTCACACTCACACAGCGAGTATATTCACACTCACACACACAGCGAGCATATTCACACTCACACAGCGAGTATATTCACACTCACACACACACAGAGAGTATATTCACGCTCACACACACGCTAGTATATTCACACACACACAGCGAGTATATTCACACACACACAGCGAGTGTAATCACGCTCACACAGCGAGTGTATTCACGCTCACACACACACAGCGAGTGTAATCACGCTCACACACACGAGTGTATTCACACTCACACACACACGAGTGTATTCACGCTCACACACAGCGAGTATATTCACGCTCACACACACACGCTAGTATATTCACGCTCACACACACAGCGAGTGTATTCACACACACACGCTAGTATATTCACACACACACACACACAGCGAGTATATTCACACTCACACACACGCTACTATATTCACGCTCACACACACAGCGAGTATATTCACGCTCACACACACAGCGAGTATATTCACGCTCACACACACAGCGAGTATATTCACACTCACACACAGCGAGTGTATTCACACACACACACACAGCGAGTATATTCACACTCACACAGCGAGTATATTCACACTCACACACACACAGCGAGTATATTCACGCACACACACAGCGAGTATATTCACACTCACACGCACACAGCGAGTATTTTCACACACACACACAGAGCGAGTATATTCACGCTCACACACACAGCGAGTGTATTCACACACACACACAGCGAGTATATTCACACTCACACAGCGAGTATATTCACGCTCACACACACAGCGAGTATATTCACACTCACACACACACAGCGAGTATATTCACACTCACACACACACAGAGAGTATATTCACGCTCACACACACAGCGAGTATATTCACACTCACACGCACACAGCGAGTATTTTCACACACACACACAGAGCGAGTATATTCACGCTCACACACACAGAGAGTATATTGACGCTCACACACACGCTAGTATATTCACGCTCACACACACAGCGAGTATATTCACACTCACACACAGCGAGTATATTCACACACACACACACAGAGAGTATATTCACACTCACACACACAGAGCGAGTATATTCACACTCACACACACACGAGTATATTCACACTCACACACAGCGAGTGTATTCACACACACACACAGCGAGTATATTCACGCTCACACACACACATAGCGAGTATATTCACACACACAGCGAGTATATTCACACACACACACAGAGTATATTCACGCTCACACACGCTAGTGTATTCACACACACACACGCTAGTGTATTCACACACACACACACACAGCGAGTGTATTCACACACACACAGCGAGTATATTCACACACACACACAGAGTATATTCACGCTCACACACGCTAGTGTATTCACACACACACACGCTAGTGTATTCACACACACACACACACGCTAGTGTATTCACACACACACACACACAGCGAGTGTATTCACGCTCACACACACAGCGAGTATATTCACGCTCACACACACGCTAGTATATTCACACTCACACACACGCTAGTATATTCACACACACACACAGCGAGTATATTCACGCTCACACACACGAGTGTATTCACACTCACACACACGCTAGTATATTCACACACACACACAGCGAGTGTATTCACGCTCACACACACGCTAGTATATTCACACACACACACACACAGCGAGTGTATTCATGCTCACACACACGCTAGTATATTCACACTCACACACACGCTAGTATATTCACACACACACACAGCGAGTATATTCACGCTCACACACACGAGTGTATTCACGCTCACACACACGCTAGTATATTCACACTCACACACACGCTAGTATATTCACGCTCACACACACGCTAGTATATTCACACACACACAGTGAGTATATTCACACACACACACAGCGAGTGTAATCACGCTCACACAGCGAGTATATTCACGCTCACACACACACAGCGAGTATATTCACACACACACACAGCGAGTATATTCACACACACACAGCGAGTATATTCACACACTCACACACACAGCGAGTGTATTCACACTCACACACACACGCTAGTATATTCACACACACACACGCTAGTATATTCACACACACACAGCGAGTATATTCACACTCACACACACATGCTAGTATATTCACACACACACACACAGCGAGTATATTCACACACACAGCGAGTGTATTCACACTCACACACACACGCTAGTATATTCACACACACACACGCTAGTATATTCCCACTCACACACACAGCGAGTATATTCACGCTCACACACACGCGAGTATATTCACGCTCACACACACGCTAGTATATTCACACACACACACACGAGTGTATTCACGCTCACACACAGCGAGTGTATTCACGCTCACACACACAGCGAGTGTATTCACACACACACACGCTAGTATATTCACACACACACACAGCGAGTATATTCACACTCACACACACACGCTAGTATATTCACACACACACGCTAGTATATTCACACACACAGCGAGTATATTCACACACACACAGCGAGTGTATTCACACTCACACACACACGCTAGTATATTCCCACTCACACACACAGCGAGTATATTCACACTCACACACACACGCTAGTATATTCCCACTCACACACACAGAGAGTATATTCACGCTCACACACACGCTAGTATATTCACACACACACACACACGAGTGTATTCACGCTCACACACAGCGAGTGTATTCACGCTCACACACAGCGAGCATATTCACGCTCACACACACAGCGAGTGTATTCACACACACACAGCGAGTATATTCACACACACACACAGCGAGTATATTCACACACACACACACAGCGAGTATATTCACACACACACACACAGCGAGTGTATTCACGCTCACACACACAGCGAGTATATTCACACTCACACACACACACGCTAGTATATTCATGCTCACACACAGCGAGTATATCCACACACACACATAGCGAGTGTATTCACGCTCACACACACACGCTAGTATATTCCCACTCACACACACAGCGAGTATATTCACACACACACACACAGCGAGTGTATTCACGCTCACACACACACAGCGAGTATATTCACACTCACACAGCGAGTATATTCACACTCACACACACAGCGAGTGTATTCACACACACACAGCGAGTGTATTCACACTCACACACACACGCTAGTATATTCACACACACACAGTGAGTATATTCACGCTCACACACACACTAGTATATTCACGCTCACACACACAGCGAGTATATTCACGCTCACACACAGAGAGTATATTCACGCTCACACACACAGCGAGTGTATTCACGCTCACACAGCTGCCGCTGGCCACCCAGGGCTCCGGGGTGTGGGTAGTAGAATCCTCACCTGCTCGTTCCGCGCGGGGCTCCTGACATCGCCTCCCGAGTCCTCAAGTCGCCCAGACACCCCCAGCCTGGACGCAGCCACGACGAGTTACAATGGAAATAAATAAAACCCCTCAACATTCCGAGAGCCGCAATTAGCGTGGTGAAGCCCTCGCGCTCAAGGCTCCCGAGCCGCAGGTTGCCACTCACTGGCAGAGCCGGGGGGGGGAGGGGGGTGGGGGGGTGGGGGGGGTGGGGAACGTGCCCCCCCAATGATCCGATCGAAATCTCTAATTTCGATCGGATCATTGGGGTTTATTGGTAATAAATCGGCATTTTGCGACCCCCACTGCCACTGCGTAGCATATTATTATTATTATTACGTGGCCAGGGACTCTTTGAGATGATAGGACAATAGTCCATAATTGGCGATAAGTAACGGCAAAGCGGTTATAAGCGGCTCACAGAATTGTGAGCAGTTGCGTCTACAGAGTCCACGACTTCCCTGAAGGCATCGACACCTCCAGCGAGCGCGATGGCGATCACACAACGCGGTTCGAACTCGACACCTCGATCGATGGCTGAGCCATCGCCGCACACGCCTCGAATAAAATGAATGGGACAACTCCTTACTAACAACTCCTTACTAACAAGTCCTTACTTACTAACAACTCCTTACTAACAAGTCCTTACTTACTAACAACTCCTTACTAACAACTCCTTACTCACCAACAACTCCTTACTCACTAACAATTCCTCTACAATTTATCATTGCCGGAGGGGGTTGCCCCGCCCTACCTGAAAATCCTGAGCTCCGCAATTGCCTGCACTGGGCGATTCCCAACCCTAACAAAGCCCCTGACCCCTGACCCCTGACCCAGCGGTTCCCAAACCTGTGGTCCGCGAGGCTACTGCTGCTACTGCTGCGACGGGGAGTCCACGGGAAAAAGCTGAATAAACATCCTAGATTTGAAGCCTTTCGTGACTGCAAGGGTCCATACTCTTTGGTTCTATTCGGTAAAGTCACGTGGGTAAAAAATTAAAACAACAAAAATCACGACGTTGTGGCTGAAACGTCGTGATTTTTGTTGCTTTATTTTTTTTTACCTAAAAAAAGACGTCTGGGCCAGCACGGAAGAGTAGGCCAAGTACCCTCTGGATGGGGCCCCCTCTGGATTTGCCTCTACTGGAGGTCGCAGGGCTGCTCCTTGACCCTGTTTGTACCGCGTGGGGCAGCGTTCTTCTGCGAGCCGGTTTGGAGCTTCGAGTTTCAGAGGCGGGACATTGGAAAGATGTTCTAAATCGAACTAAACATTAAACTAACTTTCAATGGTACAGTATATTTTTCAAGTAGTGGTACCCCAAACTTTCGCAGCTCTTAAAAATTCCCTTTTCACACCATCAACAGGTAAACTCTCCCTCCCCCCCCCCCCGCGCCAAACGGCAAGTCCACCCGCACGTACACCACCTCTATGCTAAGTCGGCCAATCAATCAAATGCTAATTTTTTTATGCTAATTCCTTTGTCAAGGCACCTTGTTTCCTCGCACACAGCTTAAAGGTCCGCGGTCTGAGCTTGGCTCTGTGCTTCACTCCAGCGCTGTCCTCGAGACAGCCTGGTCCCTTCACCTGATGAAGGCCGCTTGTGTTGTGGCCGAAACGTTGTGATTTTTGTTGTTTTATTTTTTTTACCTACGTGACTTCGCCGAATAGAACCAAAGAGCACGGATGAAGATCCTCGCCTCGTCATTCGCGACGGGGGATCACGTTCCGGAGATGTTGGTGAATCGCCGATTTCCGCGGATAATGATGTTGGCCTCCGTGAATCCGTCCTTTTAAAACGAATTACCTTAAAAATATAGGAAGACCAGCGAATAAATAAACGAAAATGATCGTGAAACTAAACATTTAAATTGGTTATGATGAACATGAGGTGAAATAAATATTCACCTCGCCTTAAATAGTGATGCTGATGATGCTGCAGAGCATCATCATCATCAGCATCATCACTTTCTCACGTCAATTTCTCCCTCATTGCCGTACGCCTCATCGCGATTATTTTTCTCCTGGAGCGGCGGCAGTCGTGCGGGGTTCCCGGATGCGATCCGCGGACATCCACAATCGCGGAGAGCGAGTTCGTGACGAAGGAGGGAACGCCGCTTAGGGGCCATCCATTGAGTACGCACGCAAAAATCTGCCAAAACTTGACCCCTCGCCCCCTCCCTGTACGCACGCGGACTTTTAACACCCCCCCCCCCTTCCACCTGCGTACGTACGTACGTACGCTTGACGCACCCCATCATCCCCCGAATCCTATGGAACGGCCGGTGTTTAATCCACGCAGGAACGATTAATAATATTAACGTGTTTAGGCAAACAGATAGTCCACCGCCGGACTATCTAACTCACTTGAAGGCCAATGTAGACAAATTATTATCGAGGCTTCACTCCCCCCCCTCCCCCCTCCCCGTTTCCTATGCTACGTACATTGTCAGTAGACCCCCCTTACGCAAGCGGTACGCATTTGGGTTAACCCCCCTCGCTCCCCTCCATGCGTACGTACTAAATGGATGGCCCCCAACCAGTAGTAGCAGCGTGGTGGTGGTGGTGGTGGTGGAAATGTTTGTACGTTTTGGAGGAGTCTGCACGCACAAAGCGGCCGGGAACCGCTGCCCTCACCCTGAGAGAGTGGAAAAGCGCACTGGGGGTGAGGCGCGCTGAGAACTGAGAAACCTTGGGCAGCGGGGAACCCCCACAAACCTCCTGTGGGGGTGCGGGGGGAGAGCCCCCCTTACCCCCCCCCACCCGACCCCCTCCTGACCCCCCAATACAACCCCGACGCCCCCCGGGCTCTGACCGCTCCCACGACCCCCCCCCTTCCCCTGACCCCCCCCGTCCCCCCACCCCCCCCACGCTCACTTGTCAGCGAATCGCACGGGCGACTCCTGCGGACGAGGCACCCTCGTTGGCGTTGAGCCTTTCCGCGGCGTGCTGCTCTGGGCTCCGCCGGCCTCCACGTCCGGTCGATCGCCGCCGCCGCCGCCGCCGCCGCCGCCGCCGCCGTCGCCGCCGTCGCCGCCGGCGCCGGTGCCGGCGCCCGGCCGCGTACCGTTAGCGCCGCCGCGCTGAGGGGCGCCGCCATCGTGGGAAGGCCTTGCCGGCGCGAAGGCCTCGGCGGTCACGGGATCTGCGGCGGCATCGGTGGCGTCAGGTTCCAGCGAACGAGTTTTGTGCGTCGGGTGCCCGGGGGTGGCGGGTGGGGTCCGTTGGGGGTTCAAAACGTGACCGGTGCGAGCCTCACCCAGGCCCAGCGACTGCTGGAGGTCGGGGCTGAGGCCTTCCATGCTCACGGTCATCTCCTCCAGCTTCTGCATTGACCTGCGTGCATCGAGTGTGAGGCAGGCGACAGAGCACCGGGCACACGCCGGTTAGTTCATTTCATAGTTAGTTCATTTAGTTCATTTATTTGGTAGAGCCCCTGTGAGCCATTCGGCTCTTGAATCGGGTGCAACCGCAACAAACAAAAAAAAACATGAACAAGAAAACATCTTAAAGTGACTTTGTGTGTTGACTGTGCAAACAGAAAATACAGGAAAAAAATATCAAAATATTCCTGAAATAGCACCGTACACCAACGCTGTGTGCAAAAATCCGAGTGGAAGAGAGTTTGTGTGCAGCGGTGGCACCCGACGCAGCCGTCTTCAACAAATACGAGGTTTTATTTCCTCCGGCACGAGACACCCTCCTCTCTTCAAGGATTCCCCGCACTCCCAGCGTCCCGAGTTCTCGCGTTTCTGCCCCCCCACCCCCCCCCCCCGCTTTTACGACCCTCAAGCCCCTTTCTCGGAGGTTCCTCGACCCGCTTTGCCTCCAGCCAATCACCTCCCCGACTTTCTCTTAACGGATCTCAACAGACCTCCCTGTCAATCATCCTCCGATTTCCCCGCTCTTTCCGCGATGCATTTCCAATCCCTTGCAATTTCCCTGCCTCTAACCTCGGTACCGGTCCTTGGCCTGTTAGGAACCGGGCCGCACAGCAGCAGGAGGTGAGAGCGGTGAGTCCGATCACGAGGCCCGCCCCAATTATTTTATTACTTACCACTTCCGTCCACGCCTCTTTGCCGCACTGGGCGCTCAGTCTCAGTCACGTGGTGTTTGGTAAGCCCCACAAGCTCTAACCCCTAGTAGCCACAATGAGTAAGCCCACAAGCTCTAACCCCTAGTAGCCACAATGAGTAAGCCCACAAGCTCTAACCCCTAGTAGCCACAAGGAGTAGGCCCACAAGCTCTAACCCCTAGTAGCCACAATGAGTAAGCCCACAAGCTCTAACCCCTAGTAGCCACAATGAGTAAGCCCACAAGCTCAAACCCCTAGTAGCCACAATGAGTAAGCCCACAAGCTCTAACCCCTAGTAGCCACAATGAGTAAGCTCACAAGCTCTAACCCCTAGTAGCCACAATGAGTAAGCCCACAAGCTCTAACCCCTAGTAGCCACAATGAGTAAGCCCACAAGCTCTAACCCCTAGTAGCCACAATGAGTAAGCCCACAAGCTCTAACCCCTAGTAGCCACAATGAGTAAGCCCACAAGCTCTAACCCCTGGTAGCCACAATGAGTGAGCCCACAAGCTCTAACCCCTGGTAGCCACAATGAGTAAGCCCACAAGCTAACCCCTAGTAGCCACAATGAGTAAGCCCACAAGCTGACGCTGAGTAGCCACAATGAGTAAGCCCACAAGCTAACCCCTAGTAGTCACAATGAGTAAGCCCACAAGCTCTAACCCCTAGTAGCCACAAGGAGTACAAAAACAAACGTCACTAGAGAGCTTCTTTGAAAATTGGGGGGAAAGACCCAATGATGAAATCCCCCTGCTCCTCCTCCTCCTCCCCCGGTCCGTGTCTTCCACAAAACCGGTCCCTGGTGCCAAAAAGGTTGTGGACCTCTGCTCTAACCCATCCCCCTTTCAGGCCCCGTTAAGTATCAATCAGAGGGCTTTGTCTTTACTTCCCGACAGTGATCCGTGCCACTCACGTGGTGTCCACCATGTCGGGTGAGAATCGTTGGCCGTGATGCAATCTCGACAAAGGTTTGGAGTATTTGGCTGCTATAAATGTCCACGTGATGATAAGCCACTTATCATCAGGATTTTCAGGTGGGGGGGGGGGCAACCCCCCTTCAGCAATGAAAAATTATACAGGAGTTGTTAGTGAGTAAGGAGTTGTTAGTGAGGAGTTGTTAGTGAGTAAGGAGTTGTTAGTGAGGAGTTGTTAGTGAGTGAGGAGTTGTTAGTGAGTAAGGAGTTGTTAGTAAGTAAGGAGTTGTCAGCAAGTAAGGAGTTGTTAGTGAGGAGTTGTTAGTAAGTAAAAAGTTGTTAGTAAGGAGTTGTTAGTGAGGAGTTATTAGTGAGTAAGGAGTTGTTAGTGAGTAAGGAGTTGTTAGTGAGTAAGGAGTTGTTAGTGAGGAGTTGTTAGTAAGTAAAACGTTGTTAGTAAGGAGTTGTTAGTGAGGAGTTGTTAGTGAGGAGTTGTTAGTGAGTGAGGAGTTGTTAGTGAGTAAGGAGTTGTTAGTGAGGAGTTGTTAGTGAGCAAGGAGTTGTTGGTAAGTAAGGAGTTGTTAGTGAGGAGTCGTTAGTGAGGAGTTGTAAGTGAGGAGTTGTAAGTGAGGAGTTGTTAGTGAGTAAGGAGTTGGTAGTGAGTAAGGAGTTGTTAGCAAGCAAGGAGTTGTTAGTAAGCAAGGAGTTGTTAGTAAGCAAGGAGCCGTTAGCAAGGAGTTGCTAGTAAGTAAGGAGTTGTTAGTAAGGAGTTGTTAGTAAGGAGCTGTTAGTATGTAAGGGGTTGTCAGTAAGTAAGGAGTTGTTGGTAAGGAGTTGTCAGTGAGCAAGGAGTTGTCAGCAAATAAGGAGTTGTTAGCGAGTAAGGAGTTGTTAGCGAGTAAGGAGTTGTTAGTAAGCAAGGAGTTGATAGTAAGTAAGGAGTTGTTAGTAAGCAAGGAGTCGTTGGTAAGTAAGGAGTTGTTAGTAAGCAAGGAGTTGTTAGCAAGGAGTTGTTAGTAAGTAAGGAGTTGTTAGTAAGTAAGGAGTTGTTAGCAAGCAAGGAGTTGATAGTAAGTAAGGAGTTGTTAGTAAGCAAGGAGTTGATAGTAAGTAAGGAGTTGTTAGTAAGGAGTAGTTAGTGAGTAAGTAGTTGTTAGTTAGTAAGGAGTTGCTAGCAAGTAGTTGTTAGTAAGCAAGGACTTGTCAGTAAGCAAGGAGTTGTTAGTAAGGAGTTGTCGGCAAGGAGCTGTTAGTAAGGAGTTTGTAGTAAGGAGTTGTTAGTAAGGAGTTGTTAGTGAGGAGTTGTTAGTGAGGAGTTGTTAGTAAGCAAGGTGTTAGTATCGAGTTGTTAGTAAGTAAGGACTTGTCCTTTGCTTTTTATTCGACCCTCGATCGATGGCTGAGCCATCGATCGAGGGTCGAAGGTGTTGATGCCTTCAGGGAAGTCGTGGACTCTCTATACGCAACTGGGCACAATTCTGTGAGTCACTTATAACCGCTTTGCCGTTACTTATTGCCAATTATCGACTCAGACTATTGTCCTATCATCTCATGGAGTCCCTGGCACGTAATAATATGCTACGCAGTGGCAGTGGGGGTCGCAAAATGCCGATTTCTTACTAATAAACCCCAATGATCCGATCCAAATCCCTAATTTCGATCGGATCATTGGGTGGGCACGTACCACCCCCCCCCCCCCACCAGTGCACTTGGGTGACCTATCATTTGTGTAGGTATGTATGTGTGTTGAGCTTCTTTCGCACCGTACGTAGCCAGGAGGCTCTTGCCACTGCATTGGCTTCGTATTTGCGAGACATTTTCAGACAAATTCATGATGAGTTGTGTTTGTTTACACACGTGTGTGGAAGGAAACCGGAGCGCCCGGAGAAAATCCCGAGCCCGGCGCGAGGGGGCAACGCTCTATCCCCCCCGTACAGAGGGAATACACAGATGGTGATTTAGTCCGCTTGCTGTACTGCCTTCTCAGGGCGAGCCGGGGGGTACGGCTCCCTCTCGACACCCACCCACGGGTAGAAGGGAGTTTCATAGCCCCATCTGTGCGGTGATTCACCAACCCTTGCTGCTGCTGCTGCTGCTGCCTCCACACAACAAACTTGTTGTGATAATAGGGTTTTTCCCCCTTTTTTCTGACGCCAAAAGGCGTACACGTCATCTGGTCGAGCACCAATGGGGTCGAGGCTCAAAAGAAAGCCGTCCCTTGGTGTGGACCAATCGGTTTCAAGGACAATGCCACATATATTATCATCAGGGTGTGTTTTTTGTTTGCATTTTGACTGCAGGTATTGTGGTTAATGCAGTAACATGAATCCTTGTGAAAAGGTTTCAGTTTTGTTGCAAAAGAGGTCTAATGATGTAGAAACTTGTTGTGTTTAGATTGTTGTCCTTCCCCCTCCACGCACATCTGATTAGCATGGTCGGTTATGTACGGTGTGAAAGAAGTTCAACATACATATACAGAAACCCACAGACACCCAGACCCATAGAGATCCACAGAAACACCCAGAGACCCATAGAGACCTTCAGAGACCCATACAGAGACCCTCAGATTACCACGGCTGGCTACGTACGGTGCGAAAGAAGTTCAACGTACATACGCATGGATAGATAAATAAATACAGACCCACAGGAGACACCCATAGAGACCCATAGAGACGCATATAGAGTAAAACCTTGGATTGCGAGCATAATTCCTTCCGGAAACGTGTTTGTAATCCAAAGCACTCGTATATCAAAGCACTCGTATATCAGTTGTGATCACGTGACGCTCGGCAGTACAAAGCGTCTATACGTACTACTACTCGTATTGCAAGACCCTCGCTCGTTTAGCAAATTAATATTTATTTAAAAAAATGTTGCCCGCCTTGCAAAACACTCGCAGACCAAGTTACTCGCAATCCAAGCTTTGTACCGCACTAGCACGGTTAGCTACGTATTGCGCTTAAGAAGTTCAACGTAAATTTTGCTTTAAAGCTTTCGTGACTGCAGTAATTCATATTCTTAGTTCTTTCGGTAAAGTCACGTTGAAGGGAAACAACAAAATAATAAAATATATATAAAACAATAACAATTCTCACGACGTTTCGACCATAACACAAACGGTCGTCTTCAGGTGTGTTGGTTTGCATAAATTTAATAATTTAATAAATTTAATAATTTAATAAATTTTATAATTTTATAAACTTATGCAAACCAACACACCTGAAGACGACCGTTTGTGTTATGGTCGAAACGTCGTGAGAATTTTTTATTGCTTTATATATATTTTATTATTTTGTTGTTGTTTCCCTACAACGTGACTTTACCGAAAGAACTAAGAATAAGTTCA